CATCGGGCGGATCTGCCGCGGGAAGCGTCCGTCTGTCAGCTTGCTCGGTACAGCGGTCAACTACGGTTTAAAAATACGATGCTGATTCGCCAGCTACGGTTTTACAGCTCAGTACAGTGGCCAACTACGGTTTAACAGTACGGTGGTGGGTCGTCCGCTACGGTTCCAAAGTACGGGCCTGGACTTGTGCTGGTGCGCCAGGGAGGGGTGCCGGCCGTTCGGCCGACCCGTACCTGTGCTTCCGGTCAAGGCACTCTTTTTGCCTCTATTAAAAGTTGCCTTCTTGGAAAATTTTTGTCTTCGATTAGGATAAGTTTTGCATTTTCGAAAAGGGCCTGCCAAGGGGCTAACCTCACACTGCCCTCTGCAAGTGTCCTGCAACATCAACTCCCTGTCACTGCTTGGTGGCGAGCAAGAAACAAATTCGCTATGGTAACAAAGAGCGCTGGGTTTGAGAAGTGCCAGACGTCACCAGAGGGTGCACGGGGAGCGCTTTGCAAAGTTGAGGCGTACGCTGAAAAAATGGCCTTTGCTTACCCTTTCAGAGAAATCAATGAAACATTCAGGGGGAATTCCCCTCTTATGGACTTGGTATGCACTGTATGTAGGAGAGCGTTCTAACAAGTCGTACGGGTTGCACAATGCACTGGTGTATGGTGCTTTATGGAATGAGCAGTGCAGAAGTAAGTTTGTGGACATAGTCATTGGCCAATCTGCCTGCCGTGTTGTTCATTCCTACCTGCTGTGCGTCTAACATAGCTGCCTGCTTGGAACCATACCTGTTGCTGCCAAAGTTGTACAACAGTAAGCAGTGAACATCTCCTTGCAGGCAGTGTGGAAAATGGCACACTGGTCTTGGCACGTGTCGCTGCTGAGCTCAGAGGATCAGGCAACATAACTTTGCAAGGAACACTGCCAGTCTACAGGGACTTGTAAATTAGAAGTCTGCAATGGCTTTATGGTGCCTGTCAAAAAGACGTCCTGCCTTCCCCACTTGTCATCCGAGCTGCCAGACCACAGGGGTCTCTGGAAAGCAGACACCCTTGACAGAAAGGGAACGCGTCACACATGGCTACCACTCTTTGCAGCAAGAATTTTGTTGCCACCATTGTGCTGCTGAGTTCTCAATCCTGTTTGTGGGCTTCTGTAGCATGCAGGCGCAGAGGGCTGACAGACAGCGCACACTGATGGAAGAAATATCCCTGCCGAGGTGAACAAGATGAGAATGTATCTGCCAAGATGAATAAGATGGACAAGGCACGTGCGAATGAGATGTGCTCGCCGGTTGGCTAGCCTGTGAGCGATTGGAAATGGGAAGAAGGTATAATTGACAAGGGGCAGATTGAGCGTGTAAATCATATTCCCCAATGTCCGCTGCCAAGATAAAGAAATCACACAAGCACATCCTGCACGATGTTTTGAGCAGAGGCTTGCAGTGGAGCCCAGAGAATTGTTAGGAGACAATAGGACCTTGGATATCGATGGTGAAGGGTTGTGAAGGGCAGAGCGAGGGGATATGTTTGGTGGTATATGGTTCTGGCACCTTGACTCCCAGTGAGCACTCGTGGATGCTGGGGACAGGCAATAAGCTGGCAGGGAATCAAACAATCGCATGCAAATAGAAAGTAGACAACATGCTGTTTCCACTTGAGAGGATTCGCTGCTTGCATCGCAATATATTGCAGTACAATTTGGGGATGCAGCATGGGCCGATGCAATTGAGGGTGCAGTATAGGGCTGCGCAGCTGAGGGCATCATGTTTGCACACACCATCTCGGCATGCTACCCCCTGCTGGAGCTCATGGGAAGGAATTGGCAGCGTGTGTGCACACAGGTGGAGCGAGAGACAGTGGTGATTCTTGGCATCATCTTGTTTTGCAGCAGAGCGCTGTGCATTCTTTGAGGCAACTTCTGTTACTTCTTTTCAGCCTGCCTGGACCTGTCGGTGAATTGGACCCCTTGATCATCTGCTTTTCGATTTCGGAATTGCCATGTTCATGTGGAGCAGGTTGATCTGTTGCAGTGGGTGTAAAGGGGTCAGTCCTAGGCTGCAGCTAGCAGGGGCCTGAATCATTGGCCCACATCATTGACCGCTGACTCTATTGCACTGCACAAGCCTGGTTACAGAATTATGTGGTGTGCGCTTGGGGCGTTGTGGCAACTGCGATATTGTGGGGATTGCAGCGGATGTGGCCTTTGGGGCATGACAGGGTGGGAACCCAAACATCTGGTTCTCCAGCATTGTGAGGAAGTGGGGCATGTGGGTTCAAACGCCGGATGCCTCACTTGTTGTATTACACTGGCAGGATGGGTTGAGCAGATAGGGGCAGAACTCTAGGTCCTGCGGTTTGGGAGTGTAGTTTTGAGGCGCTTCGTTGGCTCAACGGTTCTTAAACAAGAAGAGAAGGTCGGACATTTTAGTAGGATGGGCGATGGGAGGCCTGGTGGGTCATTTTGTGTGACAGCAGACATTTGGTGGGAAGCAGCGAAGTGCACAGCGACGTGTGCACTGAGCAACGCCAGTCCTCCTTGTTGTGCATCGCATGGAGGCCGGAGGCTGTGGTGCATTCTGCTGGAGGCCGAGCACGAGTGGCTGGTGTGGGCAGTTTCGTTGGAGTTAGAACACCGCTGTGTGGGGGAATAGTGACTAGCGAATAGCGATTGTGACTCAGGACGCCAGACTGTAAGTTTTGATAAAGCTTGGAAAGGCTGTTGCGAATGCGCCGCGTTGTGGATAGCACATGACGAACCCGAGTCCTTGCACGTTGCAGGTACTGCCGTGTTTTTTGTTGCACTGCCGTATATATTGTATATTGTAGTACATATAGCATACATTATATTGTTATGTATTGTACTATATATTCTATGAAATTATTGTGTATTGTATATTGTAACGTGCATACTGTATTGCCGTGTTTGTCCAGTGAACCATTGTCAAGGCTCTCAGAGAAAGCGGCACCGCCGTAAGTGACTGCCATGATCACGAGACGTCATCGCCACCAAGGCGCGAGGGCTTCATTCGCCACGTGCGCTTGGCAGCATGTATCAGTGCTTTGGCATCCGGCCAACTTTGACTGCTGCCCTAGCTGCAAAACAGAACACAACTGCATTTGGGCATGCAGGAACTGAGCCCCACCTCATGCAGGAGCCGCGCTGTGATACACCCCGACGGTTGGGAGCAATCGCGTTCCGCGCTTATGCTGGGAGCTTCTGCGGCGTTCCTCTGCTGTGTTCTTGCTGTGCTGATGCTTGTGTTGGGGCCATCCGCTCTGAGCCTCTGGCGATTCGAGTGCCAGATTTCAGCATCCGCGGCAGTGTGCAATCCCTGTCGCACCCTGGGCCGATCTGCATCAAAGCAGGCCCAGTGCAGTGTTGTTGAAAGTCGGCGCAAAGGTCCCACTGCTGTCCCTCGATGGTCAACAACTCGGTGCATCCATTTGGGGGAACACCAGGGTGGGATTTTGTCCAAGCGCCTTCATTCCATCAGGGCGGGACGGCCCACAGTCACAGGTGACTGGACATGCCGTGCGCAGCAGGCCACCATCAATAATGCACATCCAGGAGGAGGCACCCCTGGCCCCAAGGCGCCTGCGGGCCGCGAGGAAACCCCACAGCCTCGCGCCAGCCCTTGGAGGAAGCCGGGACGCTTTGGGCACCCCTCCGCGCCTCAAAACCATGGCAGCCGCGGCGCCCTGCCTGTGGAACAACCAGATGCTGGTAAGCGGCCCATCGACCCCCCCCACTTTGCATGCTCTCTCCGTTGTGCGAGTTCTTCTTCGCGCTTCAAAACCACCCGGCGACCTTGGCCGCGGTCTGGCAGGCCGAAGCGCGAGCACTGCGGCCATGGCAAGGGAAAGGACGGGGATCAACCCCCGTTTGCTCCCCCAGCTGCGCTTGGCCGCCCCCGCACGTTTACATTCTCAGTGCCGCATGATCTTCTTCGCGCTTCAAAAAGCACCCGGCGACATTGGCGGGGGTCTGGCGGGCCGAAGGGCGCGCACTGCGGCTGCGGCAAGGGAAAGGATGGTGTTCCAACTCCCGATTGCTCTGTCAGTTGTACTTCTCTCTTTTGTTCTGCTTTGGCCCTGTTCCGCCCGCCGTTCCCGTTTGTCACCGGCTGCGCGGACGGTGCGGGGAAAGGGCGGTATGGCGTAAGGCGCCCCGGTGCCCCGGGCGGTCGCGTCAGCTGTCAGGTTGCGCGGAAGAGTGGTGCACCACGCGAGGATTCACACGGGCGGGGGCCGTAGGCGGCTTCCGTCCTGCCGACCCGTACAGCTGCGCGCTTTTCCGCGAACAAGGAGCGGAACTCTGTCGTCGGCAAAGTCTGCTGGGGTGCCCCACTCGAGCACCCGCGAAGTGGGCGCGCTTTGGGGCCGAGGATTGAACGCGGGATCCCCATCTTTCGCCTGCTCCCCCTACGCGGGGTCGCGCTGGCATTCCCCCGTTTGGGCTGCTGCTGCTGCATTGGCTCCCCGCGAGCTTGGCAGCCGGCAAGCCTGATTCTCTGAGCGACCGATTGTCGAGTCTCGCTGATGATGTTGTCCCTCGGTTAAAGCCGTTCGAACATCGGCAGCTGACTTCGCACTAGCCGGGTTGCCGTGTCAAGGTGCACCCTGAACAGCCCTCTCCCCCTCCCCGCACCTTGCTCAGTCTCAATTGCCTGTGCGACTCAACCCCACGTATCACCTTCAAAATTTTTGCGAATGCCTGCACCAATTTTCGCCGTAGTTGCCGTCCCCATTTCCTCACTCGCTGTCTCCACGAGCTTTACTTCGTGAATCACTCCCTCCCCGGCAGGCGCTCAAGAAGCGCTGGGCAGTGGACCTGCGTCGCCAACGGCAAAGGGGGCGCTGTGGCGGGGGCGGATTCCGACAAAGCGATACATTCGATACGTCCTAGGCGACGACGCCAGGACCCAGGCGAGCGGCCAATTTCTTTACTCCGGTCACGCCCCTTCCTCCTGAGAGCCTCATCAGGGCGGCCTCTGAGCTTGGGGGCCGATGGAGACGGGGGACGAGGATGCCTGGGGTTCAGACCCGAGCGACTTGAAGCAGTCGCCCAAGTTTGCGTCCGTGCCAGGGACGCCGGGGACGCCAGGGACGCCGGTGGTGATCGAGCAGGGCACGGCCATGGGGCACCAGGAGGTGGTGGCTCCCAAGCCGCTGCCAGAATCAAGGTGAGCTGCACAGGACGCTTGCATCTTCTTTGTGCTTGAATTTGTCGTGTGGCAAAGCAAAGGACCCCCGCAGCAAACTAGTGATGTCAGGTAATGGTCGTGAGCTCATGTGTTTCAAAAACAAACTGTTCGAATCCACAGAATTTGTGCATGAGCATGGATGGTTGGTCCAAGATGCGTTCAGCACAGGACACCCTTGCCTCCATAGATATTCGACACATTGACAAGTGAACAGCTAATCAGAATACCCCAAACAGTTCTTGGTCTTGATGAAATCCATGTCATGCAGAGACAGAGTGCTGCGCAAAGCTTTGGGTATCTGCTTGGAGAGGAGCCTTGTGGAACAGCCTGTTGGTCCTTAGCAATGCGAACCACAGTTTGTGTGGCAAGCATGGCTCCACAATCTGTCATTCTAGTCATCAAGTACGTCCTGACTGGCAGTTCATGACATTCGAATCGGTCCAGGGCTTGAATTGTTAGCCTTGACACCACATCACCTGACATCGACTAGTGTTCACTTGAACTCAGGTGCCTTACATTTCGCAGGGGGCGTCTTGGTCAGTGCATCAAACAGAACAAATTGTGCACAGATAGGTCTGCCCCCCTTCCCCCCACCACCACCCTTCCCTGCAATCCATGGAAGGTACCAAGATTCCAGGATAGTGATTTGTGTTGTCTAGTCAAGTGATATCAGTGAGGAAATATGCCTTCCATCGGCTCTTCTGATTAACAAATGAATCATGGTTCACCCCAGGGCCCCATCGTGGCTCTGTCCAATTGATATCATCGAATGGTGCCCCATAGCCAAAAACCGCAAGGCAATTGTTATCGTTATCGAATTGGCTGGCTGTATTCAGCAATTCTTGTGTGCATTGGCAGTATGTGTCTTCATTTCGGTGCTGATTGGTCCAAAATGCACTTTCACAGTAGCTGTCACTATTTGAATACTGTTTAAGGACGATTCAGGGCACACGTTGGCGCCCTTTTGGTGTCACCCAAGCATTGAAGATCTCAGCTGTCCTCAGAGCTGGAACCAGCATTAGCCAAGTCACTACCGCTGCCTGCAGGTCAAGAAGGTACAGAAAGTTGCTCGCATTGTGACAAGCTGAACAGTTATTGAGTCCAGCAAGTTGTTTCCGCAGAGTTCGATGGCCAAATGTGCCATGCGTTGGCGATGAGGATGTCTACATCTTTGTCAATTTCTGTGGACTGAGAGCTCGGCTAAATGCCACACCCAAGAAGGTTTCCCAAGACTTTGCCTCGTTGACAAGGTGAGACTGTCTTTTGGATGCAAGGAGAAATTGCCAGAGAGAGTGTCCTCTTCCTGACCTTGGAGAGTTTTCTTTTCTTCCAAAATGTGGCATCACATTTGAGAGTTGGGGTGCCATCCTGGTCCTCACAGAAGAAATGTGGGCCCTTTGGCATCTACCGTATTTACCCGGTATTAGTAGGCATGTACCGGACCCCCAAAATGAGTTGTGGATACTAATAGCGGGTCATGTATACTAACGCAGTTTGGGCCCCTGATTCCAAAGAGAAGACAAAGAAATTTTTTGACAAATACGCCTTGACATGCCCAAAAATGGCCAAAAATGTCGACGCTAGTGCGGAATGTTGTCAGCCTCTGCACAGGACCTGGCGGCCTTGGGGCTACACCAGGAGGTGGCGACTGGCGATTGGGGCCGTCAGGGGTTCGCTGGAGTGCTCGAGGCGCCTTTGGCTCTGCAATGCAAAGAACAAGGCCTGACATGGGTCTCGACTCGCTGGGGCACCACGTCGTGACGATGCTTGACACGCGGCGTTTTCCCTCGCTGATGGCAGCTGGGGAGGCTGACGGGATTTGTGTTCGGGTCTGTGGCCTGGTAGTCAGTGAGATGTATTTTGGCCCACCTTCGCAGCGTTTGACGGCCAGTTTTGCAAGGCGGGTCTCGCAACGGCAGCTGCCCCGACCAATGCCGTCGCCTGCCCATTCCTGGCGCTGGGCCTTGGGGGGCTCGTGGCAGGCACCAGGCCGGAACCTGCTCTGGCCGGCCAGGGAGCAGGTTGGCTCAATCCAGAAACCAGGGCGGCTTTGAATTCTCGATCGCTTTTATCATGGGGCCTTGTGGCGTCGGTCGCTGCCTTGCGATCCTGGGCTGAGAATGGCAACGGCGGCCAGTCGACCATGCGGCCTTTCGCGGGCACCCTTCCAAATTCTCCCTCGACAACATCCACCCCGACCCGATCGTCCCCGTCAGTGTGCGAATCGCAGGGAATGCAATTTGGTCCAGACTGAGCAACGAAGTCCAACACTAGCCCCCGACTTCCCTTGCCACCACCCGCGCCTTCCGTCGTTTCTGCTCTGTTGAGTTTTGGGGGTGGATACTAACACCGGGTCATGGATACTAATGTGGGTTCGACCCCCAAAGAGGGGGGTGGATACTAATAGGGGGTGCCTACTAATACCGGGTAAATACGGGTAATAAGAAAGTGCAAGGCGATGTCAAGCCCTAAAGCAAAGAAGTAGAAAAATACTTAATCCACACTGATGAGTACGAAGCAAATTTCTTGAAATATGCGTTGAAGCAATCTTGGCGCAGCGTTCTGGAGTACAGGCTATGTTAATGTAGACAGTGAATGGACCCATAAGACACCCCCTGGGATGAGCCAGGATTGGCTTATTAAACAGCTTTTAGGATGGGCCATAACTTGTTGGGCAACAGTAGAACAATGCCAAACAGCCAGAAAGCGTGATGCTTGCAAGCAGTGCTGTGAACAAAGCAGCAAAGATGCACCCCTCTGCAACACGACAATGTCTTTAAAACTTGTATTCTGAAGCAATCTGTGGTGTCCAAAACTTCCACTGCCCTGCCGTAGGAGAGGTTCATGCATCACAGGACTCGATTTCGAATTCCCACTTGGTGTTAATTAGAAGTTTTACAACTATAGCCACCCCTCTTGCTGACCCTAAGCCATCTACCTGCCTGTTTCATATCCTCTTACAACATGCAAAGACAGTTCACCACGCATTCTCCCTGGATCTGGTTCGCTGACTTTTCAGTGACTTGGTTCATTCCGTCGTGCCTCCAGAACGTCGTCTGGCTCCATGTGGAAGGCCCTGCTGATCTGGCCACTTGCACTGCTCGCTGCCTTTTCACCATATCTCATTCCCTTGCGCAACCATGAAGGCGGCTACCGCAGGAACTGGCAGCATTTTGCATTGATGATGCCCATTACCCAGATGCTGATCCTCTCCTCTGTTCCCGAGCTGGCCCAAGCTGTGGGGGGCATCCAGTTGACAGTCCTGGAGCAGGCCTTGACAGTGCTGATAGGCACAATGTTTGCAACTCTGCCGGTGAGACTGTGTGTGATACGCTCCAATTCAGAGTTGAATTGCAGGTCCAGCTTGCAGCACAACATCTGCTCGATGCCACTTAGCTCGCAATTTGTTTTGCGCTTAGTTCCCACCTGACTGCTGCTTGGCTCCTGTTTGACGACCAGTCACATTCTCCACACAATTGCTGCTCTCAAAGTACAACACTAACACACACATGATCCATGCTCGGGAGCGGTGCATACCCTGTCTATCCACTGAAGTGCAGAAGAAGAGCGAGATCCTTGGCGCAGTTAATACAATGTCTTTCTTACAGTATCTCACAAGTCAAACCTTCCACTTGCCTTGCTCACTCGAGCCCTGTACTCTTCTCTCCCTGGTGGTGGCCTGGCACTTGAGTTTCTGAATAATCACCCATTCGCATATATATTGAATAGGTATGCATCTTATAAGATGTGAAGCTGGGAATCAAGCATCAAGATTTTCCCTTTTGTGTGCAACACGGACAACAACACACCAAACATAATATATGGTCTTACTGTGCACACATCATATGATGGTTTTAGTTTGTATCATCATTTAAAGGAGCTTGCAGTGCTCGTCTAATGGAGGCCCCCACTCCGTACATCATGAGAGGAGACAAAATGCGACAGCAACCCATTCTGTGGCCACTGTCCTCGCTGCCAGGATGAGTGCAGCACCTAAACGTTTTGTTGGGGTGTGAGATTGAGAGTCAAGGGAAGTAGCGGCAACGTCATATCCTTCAGGGATACTGTTGTGGCACTGACTCTGTTTTTGGTTCCCACCAGGTGATGGTGGTTGGTGGCCTTGGCACCTACCCGCTCCGCTTCACGCCCATCCTGTGCACTATCCCAGCTTCCTGGCTGGTCTTTCTTTTGCTCTTTTTAATTGGCCGTCCCCAGTTCCAGGATGGCAGCAGCAAGCTAAAGCACTTTGTGGTCGCCATCCATGTGCACAACATGTTCTACATAGGTGGCACTGTGGTGCTGCTGTACACCATGGGCTTCAGGAGCTGGGGCCCAACGGCCCAGAGGTTTTCCACGTTGCTCATACCTGTGAGTGCTGAATATCTTGACCTCGCCTTTCTTTCGTCCTTTTCCTCTTTCTTTATTGCTACTTCTATTGCACTTTTGCATTATTTTTTCATTCCTTGTTATTTTTTTCTTATTTGTTGTTGCTGTGCACCTGGATTACAAAAAAATGGTGCTGTGGGCTGGGATGCTCTTCTGTATGGTAGCTGGGGTGCATTCCACCCAAGGAGAGGACTAAAGAACAGGAAAAGAAGAAAGAAAGGAAAGCAAAAGGATTGGTGGACACACTTGTGGATTTGCCAAGTGCCTGGGTTGCCTACTTGGCACATGGGCACTGATTTGTCATATTTGACAAATGTGATTCAAGCGAACTTGCGATACGGTTGCCCATGGCCTGGCCACATTTTATGTCTTTTGTGCTGTCAGCTTTCACTCATCCAAGGCAGCAAGCGATCAGCAGACTGAAAATCTATTCGTTTTCAACTTGTATGTTCCCTTGTAAGACATGATCCAGCTGTGCATTGCAGCCCAGCAGTATGTTATCCAGCACAGTGAGTGCTCAACACAATGCAATCCCTTGCCTGCCTTGCATATGCTTTACATCACCTTACCTTTTGGACACGTGTCCTCTCCAAACCAGTGGGCACTGACCCCATCAGTTGCTGAAACCCCAGCAGCCCAGCACGCCGCCCTGGGCCGGGAACAGAAATCTGACAAGCAATATGGAACAACCGCTGTGAAGCGAAAACACATCGCATCAGCTTGAAGTCGCAAGGACACATGTCACATTATTTGAAAGCCAGAATCAGGGATTCGCCTCTCACCGTGGCAGTTCACTGGCTACAGGCAACCCGCATCAGCGTCAGAAAGCTCATGGAGGTCGTGCTGGCGAATGTATCCACTGACCTGATTCCCAGCGCCATCTTTCTGGCGGAATTCTCCATCCAGTCCCTGGTGGCCAGCATCCTTCCTGGCCTGCCGTCCCTGACGACCGTGCTGATGGTCGTGGGCGCCGATTTGCTCAGCAACTTTTTCCATGTCTTCACCATGACGCCCACCTTCCTACGCCTGAGGTTCTGGGCGTTGAGGACGCTAGGGGGCGGTCGGCGGGACCCCAATGCCTCCAACGGGTGCTGCTCGCCGCTCATCAGGTGAGGGCCTATGCTGAGCTCTGGATTTGGAGCCCACGAAGGAAGATCTGCTCAACTGGGTTAACTAAACACAACAAGCATTGCCAATGTGCCTGCAAATTGGGGGGCTCAGGATAAGATTTGTTGTACTGGCAGTGAAAGTGTTTGTATGTTATCAAATTGTATGGGTGTACTGGGTACAATATATAGGTATGGTGTATTATGTATTAGCAATGATGGACGCAGTTCCATCCAGATGGAAGTGATATTTACATTTTAGGTTGGGATCTTATGCTTGTGTTCTGTGCTTATCCTTTTGTTGTTGGAAACAACATCTTTTCATGACATGGAAAAGAGCATCCTGCATACCTGCCTGGGAATTGTATCCTATGCCTTTGGATTGCAACATTGGCGCTCTGCCAGTTTTCGACAAGACCAGCTGAGTGAATTGTCCACTGCATGATAACAAAGCAAATAACTGATGCCTTCGTGGCATTCCCAACTCAGGCTGCAGCCGTGGACAGCATGCCTGCCATTCTCAAGGATATCTGTGTGTACACAAAGTACTAGCCGGTCAGATGGTCAGCTCTTCTAGCCAGTTGCTTGACTTTTCAAAGAAAACACACGTCAACAAGAAGATCAGCAACATACATACTGAGAGCGATTCAACCAGCGCATCACATTGTGGGTGTGTTTGCATGCGCCTCAAGTCCTCTCACTTATGTGCCCTAGTCAGCCAGTGCAGTACCTTTTGCTACGCTCTCACTTAACATCCTTTCATCTTTTCCCGTGTGATGCTCATTTTCAGCCTGTGAACCCCCTGCCTTCGCAGTTTTGAATGCATGAAGTCAATCATGTGCTGAGGGTGCATCTTGGGCGAATTCCTTCGTGTGGCTTGGGGTCAGATAAGGCTCAGACCTGAGCAAGAGTTGTATGTGCATGCTGTGCACAAGAGACTTATGCTCGCTCCCAGGAAGCAGTATCCCAGCGGTTGACATTTCTGTCAAGAACACCTGATTGCCCAATCCGATTGTGACCACGGCTGACATCTAATCCATATTGATCGGTTTCGACAGTGAATTCGTATTCTTTTGAAAATTCGAATTCGAGCTCAGTTCGAAGTGTAAAACAGACTTCTGTTGTTTCCACATCAGCTGCAGTGCAAACTGCATATTTGTTGCACACTCTTCTTTCTTTCCTTCCCTTCTGTGGCAGCCTTGAGACTGTGCTGTATTCCTGGCTGGGCAGCATGCGCATCCTCAACCTGACTGAAGAGATGCTTTTTGCAAGCCAACTGGGGTGCAAGCAGACCATACTGCTCAATGTATTGTTTCAACTGGAGATCTCTTATGAATTCAATCCTTTCTGCGTATGCCAGGTCATCGATGCCCGCATATGTCACCTTTGGCACCATTTGGGAAGATCCTCAAGGGAGGCAGCGCCGTCTCATCTACAAGGCCGGGCAGCTCATGTCCCTGGAGCTCGCCGATGTCGCAGCGCCCCTTGTGTGGATGGCATTTGCCACTGGCATCCATGCCCTGGGCTACAACAATGACCACTTTGGCTTGGGTCCAGGCCTCAAACCTCTGACGGGCTACGATATCATGTCGGGCTGGCAATGGAGCGGGATCCTGTCAGGTGCAGAGGCCGTGACGGCGATGGCAGTCATCGTGGCGATGGGCCATTACACGCAGGTCAGCGGGGTGAGCTTGGTGAAGAGGGTGCTGGTTGACAACACAGGGTTCCTGGCAAGAATGATCTTTTCGAAGTACATCTACATCTTCAGCCTGCTGCTGATGCACAGTGGCGTTGTGGACTACATTTGAGTCCAGGGGTCGCTTTGCATTGTGAGTGTGTGTTGGGGATGAATTGCAATGCATGCATGCACCCAGTTGCTCGTCAATTGCTTCCCAGGGTGTGCATGATGTATCATAGCATATTTGTCGTCAAGCAAGGGTAGGGCCCTCTTTGATGATGTGGTAGTGCACCTGGTTTGGTGCATTTTTTCCCATTGTGTGTCCGGAGGCGACATTTGTACCTTTGCCTGCTAATGTCCAAAATAACAATGTTGTCTGTCCGCCGTCGCGAGCATAGCTTTTCGCTCCTCTTCTGGTCTTATCAGCCGTCCAGGATCCCATGTCTCTTTGTCGTTGAATCCGATGTTTCCATCATTGTTTCTTTTCATCCCAAACCTCTTGTGTCCGTGGACCTGTGTTTGGTTCTGGAGTCAACACATGTAGGCATTTGAATTGCACGAATAAAATGAGGGATCCGACTCCTGCACCGTGTGCTGTGTATTAGAGGAACCCCATTCAGTACTTATCCCCTCACCCCCCATCGCCAGGCTACCAACGCCACCACGTACACCCACACGTGGTACAACCACGCACACAACATCACTGCAGGACATCAAGAGAAGCGCAACGTTCAACTTTGAAACTGATTGAGTGTAGCAGTGGCAATCATGGCGTGGCTTATTCCAGTATCCCCTTTACGAAGGTTTGCAGTTATCCTGGCATCCAGGCAGCGCATTGTTGCTGTCTTCATTGCCACGTTCGTTTTCCAAGAATGAAGTGGCGAACAAAGTGGGAGCGCCTGGAGCGACGTACAAATTTCCCATTTTGTCGTACTTCGTGGACTTCCTCATCTCTCAGCCACAGCAAATGGACGCTGTCTCTCTTGCTCTGTTTTAGTTTCTTTCTTTTCGCTCAGATGTCCTTGACATACCCGAACTGTGTATTTTGCCTTTGACGTACTTGCGTGACAATATTGCGTTCTTTCTTTTCGTAGACATTGCGACGCAGCAGGAAACTTTATGCTACCCTACTGGGCAATATGGACGTGGGCCTTGTGCCACCTCTGGAGAAAGTGCAAGGCGATGTAAGGCTCCAAAAGCTTGTTCCCATCGAGAGTGCGTGCTTGCACGCAAAGAGAGCAGCTCGGCACTGGTGGCGGGCCCTGGCAGATATAGCAAATACTTCCAATATGTAGATTTTGACGCCTGGCTGTACATCGCCTCTGGCAAGTCCCATGAGTCCCACGTGGAACCAAACTCACGAAACCCAGTCCGACACAGTGCAAAACAAAATCCCTGCCAAAGCATGAAATCATTCGCGAGTGTGCCAAGGGCAAAGTATCCCCGAATTAATGTCGACAAAAGATTGCCCGTTCTACATTTTCATTCCTCCGTAGCCACTCATCCCAAACGCATTGCAACTTCTTACGCTACGAGGCACAGTGCAGTGCGTGCTCGTGAAAGGAGGACACAATGTCCTAAGGATGGACTTCTTGTCGAGTGATCATTATTCATTCTTACATAACAAGGTGAGGAGGTCGCCGAGAGGTAACAGGGCGCTTGCAGAGCCACCAGCATGTACATACGTGAGAGCTCAAATACGTGGGAGCCCCCACGTCTCCCTGCGACTGAATAGGCACCGAGGCACTATCGATTGAGCGTTTAAGACCAGAAAACGGTCCCAGGAAGAGAAATAGCAGTCCCTCTGTCTTTTCTGCGAGGATCCCTTCTTTTTCCGCTGACAGGGTCAACGCCGGTCAGTGGGTCAGTAGTTTTCTAGGGTTCAGGGTGTCCGAAACAAGAAGGGATCTTCACGGAAAAAACAGAGCGGCTCATTTCATGCCTGCCAGAAACGTTTCAATGGCGGACGTTGAAAGCACTGCGTCCAAGGGACACGTTGCCGCTGACGTGGCGTTGTGCTTGTGAAGGCCAGTGAGAGAAAGAGACATTACAGATAGTGTCATTTTCCTTTTATCCTTCGATGGGTAATGAATGTAATGTCCATGTAATGAATGTAATGTTCTTTTGTGAGCCCTTCCCTTTTGGAAGCCTCTCTGTCATCATGGTCCATCACGCGGCCAGTCCAGGGTGCCCGTCAAAGATGCCAGTCAAAGAATCTGTTCTAACGCCCAAGGTTCGGAGGCGCCAAGTCGATAAAAGAGCCGTTCAGCAAGTGGAAGGCGAGTGAGAATCGGAAAACGGGCGCTCACAGCACCAACGGGCGACCACTGCGCAGGTGCGTTCCTCCCTACGCGGAGCCAGACCGCGATGGGTCTCTTAGAATCGCGAGCCCGGTCCCCAATCGGGGGTGCGGCCGAACGGCACCAATCGCGGACGTCGTTGTTGACGATGGCGGCAATAGCAATGCGAGCGGATGGGCGAGGGGGGGGAGTGGCGAAGTCCTGCGCCTTTCCCGGTGACTTTCGGATTCGGGCCCAACGCAAGCGCGTCGTGCGTGGGCATGGTTCCGCGATTGCCGGGACTACCATTTGCGCACTGGCCAAACGCCCCCCGGCGGATTGCGCCTCGTGGGCGTCGTGTGTTTGAAGAAACGCCACGGCCGCGTCGCCTCGTGGGCGTGTGAGCGCAAGCGGAAGGACCAAGGGGGCTGTGGGCGGGGGGGGGACAGGGCTGGCTCCCATTCGGACAGCCGCAGGACGCGCCTGCCGATGGGCGCGAATGGTGCCATACGCATTTCTGGATTGAGACGAGGCCCCCTGCGCGTGCGGACGCACCAGCGCAGCGTCGAACACAGGCGAAATGCCACAGTGCAGCGTAGTCTCCGACGGTAGCGCTGCAGGCGTCCCGGGCCGCCCTGCCGCGCCTTTTGGAACACGCCACCGCGGCGAAGGAAGTCGATTGCATCGCGCATGCGCAAGCGGTCTCCGTCGCTGATGCGGACTTGGGGGGCGGTGTTGGTCGTTGAGCGTTAACGCGGCCAGCGGCGGCCAGCGCCTCAGGCGTCCCTCCCGACGCTCCAAGGGGAGACAGAGGGTGGCGGGTTTTGACGTTTTGAAAACGGCCGGTGTGGGTCTCCAGCTTGCGCGGCCCCCCAACAAGTCGCTTGGACTCGAAGACCGTTCGCTTGTCCGCTCGCGGACGGGAGTCCATCTGAGACTGACTCGCGCCTTGGCTCGCCGCAGGTGGCATCACCATGGACGCTGCCTTTAACACGGATGACGGCGACGGGTGGCTCAGCAGCCCCACGAGGCACACTGCAAGATGCCGGGGCATCATGCCGGAGGCCCCGCCGAAGATGACGAAATTCCGTTACAAGAACCTGCCCCCGCCCCGCCGACGGAGGGTGAGTATTCCTGATCGCCGTGAATTTGTACATAACAAGTCATGGAGGTAGCCGTCAGCCTCCCAGTTTTGGCCCGAGCGAGGCTGTGTCCATTATCTGTTCGTTGACATTTACTCTACGGTCCTGAATCCTAGATTCTTAACGTATGTGTACATTATAATGTATGAGTACATGATGAGTATATACTGAATATATAATGAGTATTCCTAATGCGTGAGTACATAATTATACACGCCTTTGAAGTTGCATAGATGCACCTTCAAAGGCTTGCAGCCCATCAGCTTTAATGTGTTTTTTTCAAACTATGTGTGGTGTGATTCTTCCCACACAACAGGGGAGGAAGACAGGCGCTCGAGCGGGGCCAACGATCGAGGCCGACCTCGGCGCAGATGGCGGCCACACGCATGACGCCCAAAAGGGTGCTGACCACAGCCTGGCCGCCGGTCAAGATGGGGAAGCGATAATCGACAGGAACGAGGACCTCGAGCCCCTCCCTGTCCAGAAGAACAATTACATGCATGCCGATGACGCTGCAGAAGTGGGAGCTAAAAAGGACGAGATTGGGTCCGTCCACATTGAGGACGAAGCGGCGGAAATGGCCCATGCTACTCCGCTGAATTCAGGCGCAACCGCCATCGCCGAAGTGAACGGTGGCGTTGAGGGCCACGAGTCCGAGTGCCACCCTGAGGGGGACGATGCAGCTGAGCTGGACGATGTGTCGCTGAACGCCCAGAAGGCTGTGGAGGCGGCTGGAAGCGGCTGCTGTTGGGTAGGTGAAGCATTTCCAGTAGAACTCTGTCGTAGTAGAAGGTCAGATGTGCTTGCATCATGTTTCTTCCCGCTTTGTTCCATTCCTTAAGTATGACGGCAGTATACTGTAAGTACGTACTTACGATAATAATGTCCATAAAAATTGATCGTCCCATTTGCTGGGTGCGAAATTCCAATGATCAAAATGTAGTGACAGCATCTTGCATCCCCCGTGACTGCAGGTTACCATTATGGGGGGCGTCGGCATTGCGGCATTGTCGGCATTGGCTGCCGGCGCTTGCGTGCTGTTTGTGAGGACTGCGCGTCGTTGAAGAGGCATGGCATGGACTGGGATGCCAGTGCGAAAGGGCATGAATGCGTACTCGGAACCTGAACCTTGGAAAGGTTAGCGAACCGAACTGGATCCGGAATGATAATTCAGAGGAGTTGAGGCAATTCGATTGCAAGCAGGTAGCTGTTTTGTGACCGGGGAGAGAGTTTGGGGGCCCATCGGAGACAACTTGATTTTCTTTTTTCTTTTTTTTTCTTTTTTTTTCTTTTTTTTTTGGGGTGGGGTGGGGGTGGGGTGTCGCGCATACATGCGACCTGGGAGCTTACCTTTGATACGGGAATCTGTTTTTTGGTGCGAGGTTAGACGTAGACAGAGGGGTGCCGCCGCCCACCCTTACTGCTGCGTGTTGAGCTGTTCCACATCGCGATGTAACTTTGTTTTTCTTCATGTGGAGCGATGACAAATACCCCGGGCTGGCGCCTCCACAATGCGGACCTATCCTGAAGTACTCCCCAACGGGCTTCAGACGTGGCAATCCGCTGAGCGACTGTACTGCACCAGAAAGCTGCTTCAAGCCCCACCTCCATCAGGCCGCAACGCCCCTTGCACGGCGACGTGGCCCTCTGGGCTGCTCGCCACGCCTGTCGGCTCCAGATGCCCGAATCATTGCGCCGGAGAGCTGGCATTCAATGGCCGTACGGCGACTGTGGCCCCGGGCTGCAACAGACGCGAGAGCACTTGACCTTGGGCCCTCGCGCCGTAGGTGGTACGAATGATCTCCACAGAGAGCGTGGTGAAATACAGCAGTCAGAGTCTCTGCAGCGTGACGAGCTGAATTAGGACTATTTTCGAAAAAAAACTCCGGGTGCTTCCGCACCCTTGCAGAGGGAGGTCAGCGTGCAAAAGAAGGCATGCTTTCGACTACCCTTCTGGTGATAGGAAGGAAAGCAAAAGGATTGGTGGGCACACTTGTGGATTCGCCAAGTGCCTGGGTTGCCTACTCGGCACAAGGGTCACATTTGACAAATGTGATTCAAGCAAGCTCGTGATATGGTTGCCCATGGCCTGGCCACATTTTCTGTCTTTTACGCTGTCAGGTTTCTCTCAACCAAGGCAACAGGCGATCAGCAGAGTGAAAATCCATTCCTATTCAACTTGAACAACTGCTTGCTTGAAAATATGTATGGTTCCTCGTAAGACATCGTCCAACTGTGTATTGCAGCCCAACGGCGTGTTGTCCAGCACAGTGAGTGCTCCACACAATGCACTCGCTTGGCTGCCCTGCACACGCTTTACATCACCTTACTTTTTGGACACTTTGTCCACATAGAAGTGCCAAACCAGTGGGCAATGATCCCATTACTTGTTGAAACCCCAGCAGCGCAGCCCACGGTTCTGGGCCGGGAACAGAAATCTGACAAACAATATAGAACAAACGCTGTGAAGCAACAACGCACGGCATCGGCTTGAAGTCGCAAGAACACATGTCACAATATTTGAAAAGCAGAAACAGGGATTTGCCTCTTACAGCAGCAGTTTACTGGCTACAGGTGACTCGCATCAGTGTCAGAAAGCTCATGGGGGTCGTGCAGGCAAATGTATCCACTGACCTTATTCCCAGCGCCATCTTTCTTGCGGAAGTCGCCGCCCAGTCCCTGGTGGCCAGCATCCTTTCTGGCCTGCGGTCCCTGACCGCACCTGCTGTTCTCCTGGAGTTCAGTTTCCCTCTCACTAGCGAAAAAGGACTAAAATAACACATTTTGCGAAGAAATGTATTCGCATTTTACCAGTGTTCTGCATGCTAAACACGGAAATAACGCAAACCCGTAAATTTTGTACACATTTGAACACGTGTTATTTTGGCCTTTTCCCTAGTATCTACAGCACAAATCCTCCGATATAGATCCTCCCCTTGGGGTGCCTCGCACATCTTTCGAAACCGACGCTCTGGCCTTTTCCTAAAGCGCATGCAGGACACTGAAGCTGAAATTGGGTCAGAACCACAGGACAGGGGCAAAACGGATAGTGGCGAGAACAATGCGGGCCGGGGCGACCTGAGCGCACCTGGCGCTTTCAAATTAAGCGAGGGTGGAAAACGCGAGGACGATGTCAGCCTCCAAGAGCAAATGTTCAGTAAACTCGACCTGACGAATGGTTTTTCGGGAGCCGCAGATGACGTGGGCGATACGGAAAGCGGCCTTTCGTGGGTGGGTGGGACATCGCCACAGCTGCTTTTGTATCTTGGGGCCATTTCTGGGTAATCTGGATTTGATGGCACGTTTCAGGCTCGGAATGGTGCAGCCTGTCAGTGTGCAATGCGTTCATCATAAGGCAATCTCCCCTAGCTTGGGGGAAATCTCGCTCCGAAAAACATCGCTTCACTGTGGCTGTCGATGAGGACTTCCAGCCACGAAATAACAAAGTGATGAATTCAAATTGTGCAGCTATTTGTAGCAGTTCGTAATATTGTAAGCTCCATTCGGGAACAGCCAGAATGGGTGTTTCGGTATCGGGGTCGTCGATAGGAATTTTGGACGTCCACTCTGGCACAAATCTCACCTTTCGGTGTTTTTTAGGCAAGTGCAGCGCTTGGATAAATGTTGCATAGTCCCGCTGCTCGGAGCGTTTCACAAATACATGTCTCTAGAGGGCGGCAATGCCAATGGTAGTGCTGACCTGTGCACCGGTGGACCAAAAGAGCTCCAATGTTTTTATAGCAAATATCCGGTTGTGAGCACCGCCGGAGTTGGCACCGTGCAGAAATGTGCCATTTTTGTGCATCTGCACTAAGGAAACGACAATCCTTTGCAACGGTAATGTGGGCGAAGTTCTCGGACATATCGAGGGAACGAAATCCTTGTGGCTTAATTTCATGACCTGCCTCTGATGTCGGCCTGTACGTCTTCAGGGTACCCTACTGGATAGCGCCGCCATTGCAGCAGCCCTGGCGACAGGGGCTTGATGCCGTCCTTCAGGCTGGCACGTCGATGAAGCGGCACTCTGCAAGCCCTCGAGACTGGGATTGCGAAGCCTAGCAGCCAGGTATTCGCGGAAGGGTTAGGCGGCTCTTTACGCTCTTTACCCTCCACCCTCTTCTTTACTCTCCTGTGATTTGCTTTATATAAATTTCGGCACTGGAAAAGAGTTTCTGCAACAACGTGCGCGGAAATTTCTGCAATGAGGTGATTATGGCGACTCCATCTTATGGGGTAATCGGTGTTTTGTGGGTGGGAGGCGGCAGCGATGCACAGTGGAAGGTGGGAAGCGGAAGACCGTTAGCAGCATGTACATGGTCAGAATCTCAGCATGTGCTTGCTGAGATTCTGACATGTTAGGGCAGCTTTGCTTGTGGTGTGTCCTGATGGCAGTGTCGCCGTGGTGCCGCAAAGACGCTTTTGGGATCGGATGCTTGTGCACCGGAATCGGAGGTCCACTCTGGAGCCTGTGGTCGAACAAGTTTTGAAAATCCAATTGCAAATTGCTCGAAGTGTCTCCTGTCAAAATCGCTTTTCATTCAGGCAGCGGCGCGCATGGCACATTTCAACCGTGTGCTTTCCAATTTCAAACGCAAATCAGTCGCTCACTCAAGAGTGGGCGACAGCAGTTGGGTTGCGACAGCGATATTCGCAACAAGGTTTTCTACGTTATTTTCAGTTGTTTCTTAATCGAGTGCTCCCCATGTAAAGTGCTCCATTGTGCCAGCAACCCCATGCCCGCCGTGAAGCCTTCGGCACTCCCAGCTATGGTGATCGTCTATCCAACGGAAGATTGTCATCCAGCTCAACCACCAAAATGCGCTCGCGTCAGCGTGCATGCATTTGCCCGAAACAAAATCAATTCAAGTCACCACATTGCACTTCTCAAAATCTGTAGGTGCCACAGACGATCGCTTCCACGCATTTGACAGTATTGTGGATGCCAACCAGCCAAGCGCCCCTGCGCCCGAGCGAGCCAACATGTGCACGCTGCCACGAAACCTCATCTCGATGGTTGGTTTGATGTATGACACGCATTTAGATATGCTCGCTTGCGATGAAACTTTACAGATATCGAAACACTCATGCTCCTGATCAGCACAACGGGCAACATGGCCATTCAGTGTTGTAGCGCCCTTCGATGCCGCCCAAATGCCCGAGCATGATCATGCATTGATGCGCATGAATCGCTGCGCCTCATCGCAGCAAGACATCCCAGAAAGGAGCGCTTTGAGCCTCAACAAAAACGCTCAACTTTAGGTAGCACTTGCTCAACCAGCACCGCCTACCTATTGCACTTGACGCCGCATCCAGAGGGGCACTTAAAGCATAGGGAAGGGGCCTGGTGGAGCTGAACAGTTCCCGGCAGGGAAGGCAAAAGTTGTTGCCTTCTGTGCCACTTTTGAATACTGCTCAATTCGGCCTGCCTGTAAGGAAGGCCGGGGCCCGTCCACGCCCACCGCTGAGCGAGGCGTGGCAGGGGGAAATCTACCAAATGTGATCGGATAGTTGGGGCACTGCCATCTTTTGTCGGTAACTTTTACCTCCTATTGTCTGCAACTCTTTTGCGCTCTTCAAGTCCCATTATGGTGTAGCCTTGCCACAAGGGCCTTGTGCATTTCTTTTGGTGGGCTCCAGGGGAGGGGCTGTACGCCTATGTTGGGACTGCAGCCTCCTCTTCCTTCTTGGTAGAGGGTTGATGGACGAGCGCATCGCCCATAAACCGACCATTCAAAACCTCCTTGCTTTTCGTGGTGCTATTGCTGTGCGCTCCTCTCCATGCACCGGAGACTCTACGTCATCTTATCAGCGCATGGCAAAGAGTCCTACAAGCACCTTTTCCGCCAAAACACTACACGACATTTCAGCGTCCAGGTGCCTCTCCCTTCCTATAACAAGATATGTGGGCATTGCGCCACCAAGCAAGAGCGTGCGAGGCGATGTAACGCCCCCCGCTGGTTCCAATACAAAAGAACGCTGGTTCCAATACAAAAGAACGCTCAGTCTCAAGAAGAAGAAGAGAGAACATGGACACCCTGGGGGAGTCCTGGCAGAGTCTCGCGCGCACTTGCTTACGAGGGAGTGCCCTTCACATGGCCTGTATTCTTTGAGGTGCGACAATTTGAGCACTGGCGAGAAACGCCGTTGTGCGATGCCAACTGCGATGCCATTTTGACGACAGATGGCCCCATTGCTGTGCTGTTCTCGTACGGCTGGGTGGGGACGTAGCCCTCGGTCGTTGACACGCAATTAATGTGGCTCATCATCTGTCCCATCGCGTCCCCGCACCCAGCCACCCCCATGCCCCATTCACCCACCTCCCGCGACTCTCAACTCGCTGCAGCGCCCCTCCAGCAGATCTTCGCCCTCCCCAACGCGCGCCGCGCCGATATCGACAACCGGCCGATATTGCCGATACGGCCGGCCATGCTGCTGTCCCTCTGGTCCGCGATACGCATAGCGGCCTGCGGCTACGCCGCGTGGCTGCTGGCGCGGTTCATGACCTCCGAGGGCGACCTGCGGCTGCAAAGATTGAGCCACCCCCCGGTCGGGCACTTCGAGGGCAAGGGCGTGTGGGTGACGGGCGCCAGCCAGGGCCTGGGGGAGGCGCTGGCCAAGTACTTCGCGGCGCAGGGAGCCCGGCTGGTGATTTCTGCGCGGCGGGAGGGCGAGCTGGAGGTGAGGCTGGCGGGCGAGTGCGGCTCGAATGGCCCTTCATGGAGGGGTGGTCCATGAGGAATCCGCATGGATTCGGGTATGAATTCGGGAGGCGTGATTGTCTGAATGGTGAAGAGGTTGCGGTTTTGGCGGGCTGGCGGGGGAGGGGGCGAGGCGGGCATCGCGGGGCCGCGAGCGGGGCGGCGTTTGGGCTTGATGGGACGGCGCGGGAGTGCCAGATGTGTGACGGGTTGTCGCTGGGGGGGCCGCTGCGTCATTGGGTCGCCCGATGGTCATGAATCGAGCATCGGGGTGAACGAATTGACTGGCAGTGGCAATGCCTTAATTTCTCATGAAACAATTGGCGTGCAATGTTTTGCTATGGCGAATTGGGGAGCTGATAGTTGCACAATCACTGAGAAAAAAGGGCCGTGTGCACCAATGTACAACGTTTATGGGTATGGGTTATTTCCGTGTTTTTTTTGGCATGCAGAACACTTATGAAATGCATGTGTGTGTGTGTGTGTGTGTGTGTGTTCGAAAAAAGTAATATTTGGTCCATTTCTTGATAGTGTTCTCGCCTTGGCATGTGGAAATTCTTGAAGGTATGAAGAAGGGCCTGGCGACTTGCGATCGTGGAAATATGGGGCACAAAGGGCGCTGAGCGCAGAACATTGGATCGCACAGGCCGTCGCTGCCCGCCCGGTTACGGCGCTGATGCGGTAGCGTGACCAGAGGCGATATGTTACCTACTCATGCATTTCGACCACTTGATGGGGGTCTTTGGCTACCTAATGTCCTCCCATTGCTGACGTAATGATTGTCCATTGATATGTTAAAGACCTCCCTACAATATCTGTAGCATTAGCTACTGATTGAAATAGTAGATATACATCGATTGTTTGATTGGCTGGTTGGGTGGCTGTTGAAATCCGCTGAGATGTTTTTATGTGATTCGTTCTCTGCTCATGCGAGGCCTTGATTGTGCGACGTATGCACATAACTATCTCATGTATGCAACAATACCACGCACTGCGAAGTACGTAACGAAGTACGTAATTGCATATGTGCGATAATATGATCTTCCTAGGATAAACGAGCGCCGATTTGTCAGCAGGCTGATTGTGTGAGTACACCCTTTGATATGAAAGCTGGAATCGATTCCATTTGCCGAAAATTGGGAAAACAGCTGAATGCCTGCGCATTGCAAATTGATTAAAAAGTTCAGTAGCACTGAACAGCGGTTGCTGGAAACTGGTGGTATCTTGGCATATTGGACAAAAGAAGCTTGGATTCTGCTAAGCCTCCGGCACAAACTTGTAACGTGCTGACAACATACCAGCATATTTATGCTGTGTTTGTGCCTATGCTCACGAACCTTTTTCATGCAGAGAGTCAAGGCGTCCTGTGTGGGCAAGTGGGCGCCCCAGGACATCACCGTACTGCCATTCGACCTGACGTCATCGCACGAAGTCCTGCGGTCGGCCGTGGAAACCGCGTGGGAGGCCCTGGGGGGGATTGATTACGTCATCAACAATGCCGGTGAGCACATACAAATGCGACCACGGACGGCTGCGAGTAATACAACATGAGCATCAACGAGCTTACCAAACACTAATGATTTCGTTAACTCATATTGGTGTATGAATTGTCACGTCGCATAAAGATCGCACATTCACTTCATTGCCTACTTTTAAAATTCGACACAGTTTCGTTATATAGTCATGCGATGCGTATGGTGAATGAAATTAACGCGATTAATAGTACTATGCAGGCAACGCAGTAGTGCATTGGTGCATCCCTGGGCAGTACATTTCGTTTTGCGTTAAGAAAAAATACGCTGAAAAAGACATGAAGAGACATTGGCGCCGGTTTACAATGGCCAGCAAACCAACAAGGCAAAACAATGGGGAGCAAATACGCAAAAGCCTATAGAAGTAGTGCAACATTTCAGCACTCTCCGTGAATGACTGCTGTGCCGGGCGCTGCTTGCAAGCTCCTTTCATGCCCTTGCATGCGATGGAGATCCATGTCCCCAAACTGGTGAAAATCATGTCATTTTGCCGTTTCGTTCTCATGATTCAATACTAATGTAAATTTTTCACTTTGCGACTTCAAAATTTCCGGCGGTTTGTGAGCACTGTCCAGTTGATGAACATCGCGATGTTGCCTCTCGTCACCAATGAACCGTGCCTATGCCAAGCCCACAAACATCCGATTGCTTTTATTTCCGGAAATGGAGTCATGAGGGTCAATTTCGGGGTTCCAGCTTTTGATTTTCTTAAGTTTTCAAGAACCTCGCAACCTTCATGGTCTTCACAATGCCTTGATGAACTTTAAGCCTGGAAGTTACGGGTATCGAACAATCTTCAACAAGCCTTTTCGCCATTATGCCAGTGCTGGGTGACAAGCGCACCATGAGATGCATCTCGAAATCTGTTTTTTTCTTGCAAACTCCAAACAAACTGATGAGCTTTCGGCGCACCCACGGAAGCCGATCCACATTTCATGCACGATATGCATAATGAATTAGACGAATGCAAAATTACTCATGAACCACAATAAGCGTTGGTTACGGAGTCTGCGGAGTAGGGAGGCCCGTAGGCAGGTGGGAACAAATCTGGTCCGATCGCTATGGTACGCCTCCTAGCAGGGGGCGTCGGGACGCCTATGGGACACAATCACCTAGCATGTACATGCTTCTCTAGGGGGCGCGCGTGTTGCCCCGGGTTTCTGGCTATGCCATGGGGAATGGTTGGGGCAACGTGCGCGCCTACTCCACGTTGTTTGCACCCACCCTCCCGCGCCTGGGGAAATTGCATTTGAGGGGTTTTGATTGGGATTTGATCGTGGGGAGATCGCTTAGTCACGGTGTGACAGGGACCGGAAAGGCATACACTCTTTGGCGTGGTTTTCGGTGTGTTCGCGGGCGATGCTCCCGCCGAGGCGCCCGATGGGGCCGCGGGGCCCCCTCCGCCGGATGGCCGGCGGGCTTTGCGGGGCGCTCGTCTTCTTCGGATGCGCAGTGTGGGCCCAGGCCTGCAGAATGGCCGGGCGCGGGGCGGCCGTACGCGCAGTGGGTGCGCGCGGCGCCTTGCGGCCTGCGGGGGCAGCCGCTGGGAGGCGAGAGTGGGCAATGGAATTACAGGCTGTCGTGCGGGGTCGGTCACATGACCCCCACATGCAGCGGTACACAATCGACAGAACAGCGTATCGAATGTACCCGTATCGATAGTATCTCATCCCCGAGTACGGTAGGGGCCCAACCGCAAGTACTGGAACTTCTATAAGCCATAACTCCACTACCGCTAACCCGTTTGGGATGATTCAAAGATCTATGAAAAGCTAACAGCCTCCTCTGTCTCATCTAGGTACAATCTCATGTCAATTATCACTTCCCAGTGAATAATTGGAGTAAACCGGCTACCCCCTAGTAGTTTACACAACAGTACTCCCCCCTGGGGGTAGTTTCGCCCTCGAAACGTCTAAGCGAAACCCAATGGCCTAGTTGTCCTCAACGGGCCGGTCCCTCTTGATCATTTTTTTGAGTTCTTCTGGGTAAGTGAAATTCTCCTCTGGAGTCCAGGTAGCGTCATCCAACGAGTAATCTTTCCAGAGCACTAAGTACTCTTTGCGCCTCCTGGAACTGGGTCCTGCCCACCGCCAACGCAGTAATTTCTCGACATCATACGGCTCATCCTGTGCGGGCTCTATATCCTCAATCTGACCCTCCTGAGTAGGGTGCGCCCACTGGCTGGTTCTGAAAGGACGCAGTAAGCTGATGTGGAATATGTTGTGAATCTTCCACTTCTCAGGGAGGTCGAGTTCGTAGGCCACTGGTCCCACCTGACGAACCACAAAGAAAGGCCCAACGAATCGCCTCTTCAGCTTACGGATAGGTGCATTCTTCAAATTCAAATGCTCAGTCGATAGTTGCACCTGATCCCCACTACTCAGCCTCAATTCCCTTCGCTTCTGGTTAGCTTGAGACTTCATCCTGTCTTTGGCCCGATTCAGAAATTTCAGAGCCGTTGAGAAATTCCTTTTGATCCGGTCCACAAACTGGTTGACCCCTTCAATCATGGTGGAGTCGTGATCCCGGATAAGGTCCATGGGTGTACACGGATGGAAACCATAGTTCAGATAAAATGGCGTGTACCCCGTGGCCTGCATCGGACTGTTGTTGATCACAAATTCAACAGTAGACAGCATTTTCTCCCAGTTCGACCCCTCCTGCCCGGCATGCAAGGTACAGCGCAGGACCATCTCAACCACCCTGTTCATCGCCTCAGTCTGACCATCTGTCTGAGGGTGGTATGCGCTGGACATCCTCAGAGAGCTTCCCAGAACATTCCATAGTTCTTTCCAGAACTTGGATATAAACCGTGGGTCTCTGTCACTCACAATAGAACGTGGGATCCCATGAAGTTTCCCTACTGTAGTCCAGTAGACATGGGCAGTGTCAGCAGCATTGATGGTCTGCTTAACGGGTGCAAGGTGCACCATCTTGGTGGCGCTGTCTACGACAGTAAGAATCCCGTCGTTCTCGTTCTCTGATTTTGGAAGACCCATGATGAAATCCAAGCTCACGTCTACCCACTTTTGTTCCGGGAGCTTGAGCGGCTGTAGGAGTCCAGTAGGCACATGGTGGACGGCCTTCTCATGCTGGCACACTGGGCACCCCGTCGCAAAATCTCTGATATCAAGGGTGTGCTCAGGCCAGTAGAAAGTCTTTTGTATATTCTTCAATGTTTTGTGGTAGCCCAGATGCCCTGAATAAGGGACCTCATGAAGTTCCCTCATTATCTGCTCTTTGATGTCTGGAACATCTGGAACCACCAGCCGCCACTGTGATCCCTGGTGCTTGTCACTGTCCTTCATCTCCAAAAATCCTCTCGTCAGCCGGAAGGATCGACCTTCAATGGTTACCATGTTTTCTTGAACAGACTCCAGTTGGGATATGATGTCTGCCCAACGAGTGTCCTGTCTTATGCCACTTTTAATCCTCTCCCTCATCTCTCTTGCCAAGGATATGCGAGACCTTGTGACCAAAATTGAAGGTCCCACTTCTTCGTCTTGACCCCCCACTTGGGTCACCTCCGGTCTACTCTTCGCAAAAATTTGACCCAATTTCTTCTGGATCTCATCATCAGACGGTTTTTCACTTAACATCAGCCTTTTTACCAACGACTCTTCTTCCTCACGGACATTCATCAATTCTTTGACGTCCTTAATGCTTTGTCTAGTGAGGAAGTCAGCAGGGTTCTTCTTTCCTGGTATGTGGACCAGGTCGCAGTCATACCCCTGCAGAACCTGTACCCATTTCCAAATTTGCCTGTTGACTGTTGGCTGATTGGGTAGGTTCTTCAGAGAGTCGTGGTCGGTCTGGATGGTGAAATGTCGGCAGGCAAGATAATGCCTCCACTTCCCCACTGCCCACACGATTCCCAGCAGTTCCCGCTCGTATGCGCCATATCGTGTCTCCGCAGGATTCAACTTTCTGCTCTCATAGCAAATCGGCTGAAGCCCTGAGCCGAAATCCTGCTGAAGTATTGCGCCGACTGACACCTCTGAAGCATCGGTGGTGACAGTGAATTCCCTCTCAAAGTCAGGTAACTGTAGGACGGGGGCGGTGACCATTGCCTTCTTGAGACCATTAAAGGCCCTCTCCTCCTGGTCACCCCAGATCCAAGGCTTGTCCTTTTTTTGTAAGGTCCGTAAGGGGTGCAGCAATCTCAGAAAACCACCGGACAAACTTCCGGTAGAAGCTGCAGAGCCCTAAGAAGGACCGGACGTCTGTGACACTTTCTGGCATCGGCCAATCCAAAATTGCCTTGACTTTTGACAGTGACGGTTTGATGCCGTCCTTCCCAACATCAAAGCCAAGGTATTCGACTTCAGTTCTGAAGAAGTCGCACTTCGGCAGGCGTCCGAAGAACTTCTCCGACCGTAGCCGGTCCAAAACTGCCTTTATATGCTTGAGGTGTTCTTTTTTCGTACGACTGAATATCAAAATGTCGTCCAAGAATACCAACACAAAATTGTCCAGACCATCTCTCAACAAGTGGTTCATGATCCTCTGGAATGTGGCTGGTGCATTGCAGAGGCCGAAGGGCATCACTGTGTACTCAAATGAACCATATCTGGACACGAACGCCGTTTTGTGTATATCTGCCTCCTTCACCCGGATCTGATGGTATCCGGAGGACAGATCAATCTTTGTGAAATACTGGGCGCCGTGCAGACGGTCCATGAGCTCCTCGACCTTTGGGAGCGGGTACCGATTCTTGGTCGTTATTTTGTTCAGAGCCCTGTAGTCAATGCATAGTCTCCACTTCCCGTCCTTCTTTGGAATGAAAAGGACAAGAGCTCCGTAAGGGCTCGTGCTGGGCCGAATCCACCCCTGTGCCAAGAGATTATCAATTTGACGCCTTAACTCATCCATCTCAGCCACACTTAGCCTGTATGGGCTTTTGTGTGGTGGCGTAGCCCCGGGCGTCGTCTCAATCTCATGGTCAACCACTCTTTTTGGGGGTGGCCCATACGGCAGCTTGTCAGGGAAAACATCCTTGTACTCCTCCAAAATTCCTTT